ATTATGCAACTATGTTACAGTATGCTCATTTTATCAAAAATAGACCATTATGAAACCTGGCTTTTGCACCTGCTCTTCATTAATTTTTGAAGTTAAGTAGCTTTGTATGGTCTTTTTTACCAAATACCAGAGGGCGCTTGGGGGTTATTAGCAACAAATTCTTGCTGAATGTAGAGTTTAACACTAATGGCAAAATAATCCACTCCTAAAATTGTCGTTTAACTACTGTTAAGCAAAAAACCAAAACAAAACCACCCAAAAAACCAAGCACACCCTCAAAAGCTTTAAGTAATGGAGAACTGTTACATTACTTTGTACTGGTTTTAGGACAATTCGAATTTGGCATAAGTAAAAGTTGAAATTGTAATATTATTATATTTCTATTAAATTGAAAAGAACTGTAATGACATTTCGGAAAAATAGAAAAACATCACTCAGAAAAGTACTCATCCTGGTTCACATATTTTCTTAAAAGTTCATTTGTGTCTGGAAGCAGTAGCTCTAGTTGAATGTTAGAGTTTTAGTTTCACGTGGAGTGTGTGAAATGAATCAATCACACAATCGAACTTCTGTTGGAATTATCCTGAAAGCTTTTTCAGAAGAAAAATCTCAGCAGTGTAAAATCTGAAAATACAACCTTCTGCCTGCCCATGTTACTGTCATTTAGGGCAGAATTTTATTTCAGTCTTTAGGTATAGTAGAAGCAAAGCTTGTTTAGGAAAAAAGTGGAGACCAGTCTTTTTTATGGCTGTAAGAAGGAAGAGAATCAAACTAATTTATTTTTCTTTTTTTTAGAAGCAAATATTGGTAATTCGTTTTTCAGCAAATAACAAATGTCTTTGCAATTAATTTTGCATGATTGGCCTTTGGTTGTCAGCCAAGAAATGTGATCAGTCATATTTTAGTAGTTCTTCGAAATGTCATATACATGAAGTTAGAAACTGCTCAGCAATTGAATAAGTAGGTATTTGTTAGCAATACTCAGTGTCTGTGTATCTTGCAGCTCTCCTGTGGTGTGATTTATGTCAACCATACTTCTGGAGTTCTGCCAGTTTTGAAACTTGTAGGTTTCAAAAATCCCAACCCTGTGTGTAAAGTAAGTGCCCTGAAAGGGAAGGGTCGTGGTTTTGGCACTAATGGATCCTGACAGTGAGGGACTTACTAATCTTACTTTTAAAAAAAAAAAAAAGTAAGTGGAAAAACCCTCCAGAATTCTTAACTGCTAGGGATGGAAAAAAGGCAAGTAGGAAGAGTTCCAAGCTTCGGATATTTTCTTCTTACTCTTTGTTGGACTGTTTTGGAGTTATTTTGCCCCAAACTTATGTTGTGGGATGTACTTGTATGAAATACACAGCTAGTAAAACTAAAGAGAAAAAAAATTCTCAGCGTATTTTAGTGAGCATTTGTTGGGATTTTTTGACACCACCTTTTGGATAACCTGTTACTTTGTTTTAAAATCACTGAAAGTGTTTAGAGGACAGCAAATGTTTGCTTCTTAAGCTGAATGGACACCTCTGATACTGAAGATCATAGTGAGCCTGAAACTACAATTGCTTGTATTTTTAACAGTAAAATGTCTTGCTGGTTTCTGGGTTGTGTAACTTTTTGTAACATCATTTTTTAAAAAATGTGAGCTTTCTTAGATCTAAAATAACCTTGTATTACTCAGTTCTAAAACTTACCCAAATCTTATTTCATAAAGGTTTAAAGTTTCCTTATGATGGGAAATATAAAGCTGCTCTCAGTTGTGTGTAATACTGACAGACTTCTATGGCCTAAATCAAGATCCTCTGCTAGTTGCTGGCCTCATTTTGAATCCTTTTGGTTGAAATTTTCCAAATACTTTTATTCCAAGATTGAAACTGTGGAAAAATGTTGTTATGCCCAAATGAGTTAATTTAGAAATGTTTTATTATTGCTCAGTTCTCAAGGAAGAAAATTGAGTTTGGCTGCACTGAGGATGTTTCAGTATGTAAGAGCTGTGTGAAATTCAACAAGACTTTCCATGCATTTGCAATTCAGGACTGCCTTGGCAGGAGGTAGATCTGTTTTTAATAACGAGGTTGACAGGAGAGGGAAAGCTGGTACAAATAATTGTTTTATTTAAAGTACAAGTGGAGGATCTTTTTCAGCATATTCTCCCTGGCTTCTGTTTCCCTGCTAGGAAAAAGAGGGGAAATGGCCTGGAGTGAGAGTACAGGAAGGAAGTCAGGTCTGTGTGGGGCAAATAGGAGCTCCTGACCAGCTGCCACAGCACAAGACCACCAGCTTGGAAGCTGGGAATCCGTGCTGGGATTAGGAACCAGTGGACAGAGTGAAAGATGTGATGGGGATGAGAGAAGGTATCTGAAGAGCAAGCAGGATCAGGAGAACAAAATGGCAGATTGGGCAAAGAATTAATATTGGGGAAGATGCTTGAGAGCGGGTTACAAATGTGGTCATAGAAACCAAGATCCCTGCTTGTTTTGTAGCCTGAGCCAGTTACCTTTGAGCCTCACACTAAAACTGAAGTTTGACAGTGAGGGGAGAGATTGGACTAGGGCAGAAGCAGGTAGAGGAGACTGTGATCACTGCAGAACCATTTGGTGCTTGGAACCAAGCCCAGCCAGATCATTGCTGCTGCCAGTGCTTCAGCTCGGGTGGCAGATATGCGATACTTAGGATTTATTAGCCCGGGTTTCAGTAGGTTTCCACATAATTTGTTTTTCACTGGCTATTTTATAAATGAGTAAGGTATATGTAGGCATGTATTATGTCTGGGGAAAAATATGAAGAATCTGAGAGCCTCCAAGTGAAGCACCCTGAAAATAAGAAAAAGCAGGTTGTGTGTCAAGACCGTGTTCTCCCCCAGCTGCGAGATGTGCCTGTGGTTACGTGCTGTAAATAAGATGCAAGATAAAAACCATCTTGTGTGAAACTGCCCTGATGAACCGGGTTCTCCCATGCTACTGTTGCAATGACCTTGTGCATTATCCAGTGATAAACTAATAACTAAATAGCTGAATACCAGTTGGTTTGCTGGGTGCGTCCCTCAAGGATGTGCAACATGGGGAAGGGCTGTAAGAGCAGTACTTTGAGAAATAGCCTTTTATCACCAAGGCTTCTGAGGTGAGGGAATGCATTTAATCTTTGTTTGAAAGTACCTCTGGCAGCTCCTACGTGTGGTGGTGCTAGAGGTGTGTTTTTGGGAGCAAAGGGTCAGGATCTTCAAGGTTTGTGTTCAGTTGCTCTTTTGGCAGGCAGCCAGTGCTGTCCTACTCAACACAGGGGAAGGGCAATGCAGTTGAACATCCTTGTTCAGCTAAACCTGAACAGATTTTTATGGGACAAATAAATGTCAGGTTTTTCATCCCAAATAGCTCCGTCTTCCTCCAACTGCTGCTGTTTGCAGACAGCCTGTGAGGTTCAAAGGCATTAGTCAGTTCCAAGGTGGCAAGAATATTGTGTGTTGTAACTGTTCACTTGCAGAAGTGTAGCAGCTCCTCCTACAAACAGTGTGTATGTTATGGGGACTGTCATGCTTGAGTGTAATATAATGTCTTTCCACTAAATGAAATACCCACAGTGACACTGGCAAGGGGATATAGGCCCTTTAATCTCTAGGAATGATAAAGTATTTACAGTTGATAGCTATATAATGACATAAAATAAGTAGTCGCAGTCTTGCTTCCAAATAAGAGGTCTTAGTATCTCACATAACCCCATTTAGGTGGTTTCAGGAAGGCCACAGATTTAATAACACCTCTGATCCTCAGTGCCTCCCATCTAGATATTTGGGCCTGGCCAATCCCAGTTGTATTGTGCTGGTAGAAGGGTGTGAAGCAGCTTTGTCTTGTGCTACTTAGTGAATAGACTTCAGTTTCCAGGTCAAATACCCAGGTGTGAGAAATTCTTTTCCTAAAATGTCAGTGTTTGTGCAGTACAAATAGGATAGAGGAAGACTGACTTGGTGAGGGCAGCTCAGCAGATAAATGATAAGCCACAGCAACTTAGTTGTTTGACCCTTTGCTGATGATCATACTTCAGTCTATCAGGGAGCTTTTGGTCTGAAATCTGTTTTGAAAAGCTTGTCTCCAGCAATGGCAAATTTTAAGCTTCAAGGTGAGCGTCACATATAGAGAGAACAGATACCACCACTGATTCCAGAGTCCTTATAAAGAGGAAAACAAGGGATATTCGTAGATTATTTTCATGACTTACTTGATTTACTCACATAATAAGGAAATGCTTAAGGATGAAGCAGTTTATTCTGTATATCAGGGGTTGCCAATGTGTTTGATATAAAAGTAAAAAATGATAGTGTGGATTACTCAATAAATGTGTCTTCTTCAAAGTTCTGCTTTTGGATTAACATCCTTCTTCCTGCAATATGCATTCACTTTACGTTAAAAAAAAAGGGGGGGAGGGGAGGAGAAAAAACCCCTATATCTTACTGGAGGAAATAAAATTTTGTACTCTTTCTTATAATGCTTCAGATGCTAAGCTGTCAGTAGACAGAAATGTTACACTCTTACTCCCTTTAGAAAGATGATTTCTTTAATTTTCTGAATGCTGCAAATTGTCCTCTCCCCCCCTTTTTTTTATAAGGAAAGCTGCTTCACTTTCTGTAGGTTACATTGTACTAAACTGATGACGAAGAATGGTGCGGTTTTAAGAAGATAAATGTCAGGAATGTCTTCTAAAGTAGACACTCAGATTTTTTTTTGGATTAATGGGAAAGAAGGTCAATAATTGCATGGATTTCAATAAGCTTGAGAAGAAATGGTATTCCTGTGGTGCTAGTGATTGTTAAAACATTGTGAATTCATTTCAAGATACTGTACTCAAGTTTAATATATCTTCCATTGTGAAGGAATGACTCGGCAAGGGCTGTCAATTTGTACAGGTAATAGGAGATAATTCATAAAGCAATTGTATTTTTAAGAGCAAAAAAAGTTATAGTAGACAGTACATAAATTTCTGGATGGTAGTCTTAATTTTGATTCTGCCTTATTAAATAGGGCCCTCCAGACTTCCAGCAGCATACGCCTGGACCAGTTCCTACTAATTTCTCCCAAGCCCCAAGGCTGCCAATCCAGGACCAGTGGAGAGGGCCACCACCACCACCACCACCACTCCCTCCTCCACCTCCTCAGGATAGAGATCCTTTCTTCATAGCAGGTAAGCATTTTCATTCCCATTAAGAGACAAAATCCCCAAATGCAGTTTTTGTAAAGTGATTCTGCAGTGGGAGTGTATATCCCACACCATGAAGAGTTTGGAAGAACTTGAAGGCTGGAAGATCCTGTTTGATGTAGGCAGACTGGTACATGCCAAAAGTTCTGGTTGTCTGGTATCTTTAAACTTTTTTTAATGTAATTGTATGTACTCATCTGTAACTGCTATGACTGGTTATTTATACAGATACGAAAAAAATAATATCTAAGTGATTATTGCATTAAAAATATTGCACTTTGTTATATCTCAGGTAACAAGTACTCTCCATACACTTGAGTTTACACTAGTAACTCTTTTTAAACTGCCTGGACTGTGTGTGCAGTGTAAGAAATTTGTCAAGGTTAGCTAGAATTATACAGCCCAGAAAAAAAATAGTTAAGTGCATGTTTATACCATATATATGTTTTGTGTATATATTTAATGTATATGTTTACAGACATATAATGTATACATTTACAGTGTATATGTATACAGACATTTTACACACATACAACATGTAAAAAATTGCTAGATATCTGGTCAACACATGGTATCAATGTTTCATGAATTCTTGTGTGGTTTAAACTATAATCCTTCATTGATTTTATTAAAGTAGAATTTCAAAAAGGTTTTGCTGATTCCAGCAAAGTACCAGTTGTGCTGGTCTTGCAAGGATCAATTCCTTTTATACACAACTGGCAGGAGCAAGAGAAACATAACCTTGAGGGTAGCTCTGAAAATGAAAACATCCCATACAGTTTTGCATTCTGCGAATTTTAGGTTACTTTCACAAAACTATAGAATAGAGTTCTATGTTTCGAAAATGTGTCACAGGGAGGTTGTAATTTGATCACTTATCTGATTCCCGCAGATCCAAGGTTCCCGGGTCATCCCTTGTTTGAGCAACGCAGCCCCCCACCGCCACCCCCTCCTCCGCTCCTGAACAGCGCCCACCCGGTCCCTGCGCAGAGCCCGATGCCGTTCAGCCAGCCCGGGCCGGCCTTCAGCCAGCAGGGACAGCAGCCCGTGTATCCCAGGGAGCGGCCCGTGCGGCCCAACATGCAGCCCCAGGGTCCGGTGGGGATCCTCCACTTCAACCAGCCGGGCTCGGCCAACCCGCGGCCCTTCATCCCCCCGCGGCAGCAGTTCCTGCAGGCGCCGGGACAGCCCTTCCTCTCCCCGCACACGCAGCCCAGCATGCAGGTACGGGCTAGAGGAGTCACGGAACCAAACCGAGGGACTCGGGGGTGCAGGTGGGAGGTGGACGGACCTGTGGCGCTGTTGTTGCCGTGCCTGGAAGGCGGTGGATCTGCTCCGCGCTGCCGCATCCCAAGATCCCGTATCCCGAAATCCCGGGCCGGGCAACGCGGGGCGGCAGCGCCCTCTGCCGGCACCGCCCTCTGCGTGCGGGGAGATGTTTTGTGCGGATCCTTTCATGGTGTCTGTGTTCTGAACGCGGGGAAACCCTCAAGTCGGCTGATGCTGGGGGGGGGGGGGAAATAATAAACCTCCAAACAAACAAAAAGCCAGTTTAAAAGTCATTAGAAAAGGGCGCAGAGGGCGGGAGCCCTTGTGTTTGTCTGTTTCCACTTCAGGTGTTGGCTTACAGAGGTTTAAGTGTAGAACAGCCTTGCACTGCTTCTGCTAGTCTGCTTTTCACTCTGTATAATTTTGGTTTAACCTGGTTTGTAACTGCTTACAGATGTTTTAAGGATTCGTGAGGCTGGAGCTTTTCTTCAAGAGTTTATTACCTTGAAACTAAAATAATCTTTTTCTTCATTTGAAGGGTCCCATGCATCCTCCATTACAGCCTCAGCCACAACCTCAGCCTCAGCAGCACCATCACCAGCAGCAACAGCAACACCATCACCAGCAGCAGCAGCAGCAACACCATCACCATCTCCAAGGGCCTCCACAGCCCTTGATGCCCATGAACCAGCCCCAGTTCAGGCCTCACATACAGGCCACACAGCAACAGCCAAATAACAACAGGATGCAGTGTCAGCCACGACAGGGTCCAATGAAGCCAAGGCATGTAAGTACCATGTACATCAGTGTTGCCTTGCATAGTTCTACATGAGTAGCAGGCATGTAAGCACACATTTCAGAACTCACTAGCATGGTTTTTCAGTCACATTTATTCCCTTTCCTTCTTTCATAATTTCTTGCTTATTTTCTGTCTTGGTCATTTTATAATCTACTTTGAAAAATACAACATGTATTTTTTCTTTTCCAGTCTTTAGTGTTCTTCTTCACCTCAGTGCAATAGCAGATGTTACAGTTACCCAAGAAGTAGCAATATAGGGCTTTTGAAGGATAGGTTTGCTTAATAAGACTTTACAACTGCTGGTAGCCTGTGACTGTGTGCAAGCCCAGTTCTCTGACACTGTCTTTCAAGTTGAAGGCCTCTCTGTACTACTGCTAATCAGCTTTCTGGTTCAGATAGTGCTACTCATGTCTTGTGAGTTTGCTCCTGTTATTGCTCCAAGCATATTCTGTTGCTTGGTAGGTTGGGGTAGCACAACAGTCTGTAGCAGTGCTCAAGACAATGTGCTATAGTTCAGAATAATTACTTTGATTGGGAAAGTAAGTCACATAGTGAAGCCAGTTTCTGAGAGTGGTGCTTAAAAAGTGAGATTAAGTTTTGCTTTTAATTAGAAAAAAGGTTATTAAAATGTTTTCATTTCTATGAATTTTCTTTTAACATTGAAAATATTGTGCCTCTTCAAACAGTTTGTTTCCCCAAACTTTACTAAATCAGGAAAATGTGAAACTAAAACCACTTTAACCTGGTTTGTAGTGGAAGTCTTCAATTTTTTTTCCTTCCTGCTTTTCAGAGCACACCGTCACAGAATATTGTCAAGCGTTCAAATCAGCAGCTACAGTCAAGTGCCCCCAGGAACAGTAACTTGCGCGAGTTGCCGATAGCACCGTCCCATGCCATGGAAATGAGCAACAACAGGCGAAACTCCACCCCAGCTGCTCAGGTCAAACCCATCACCAGCACCGTGTCTGCCAACAAGTCTGTCGGTGGTGGAAACTCCCAGGGAAGGCCTGAAGCGAAAGCTAAAGCAATCACACCAGTGGGCCAAGCAAAGTCAGAGGGAAAATCTGAGCCAGAGGTAAGGGATGTTGTTGTTGTTGTTAAACAAAGGAACAAAACTCAAACAATCAAGAAACAAAGCTCCCACCTTTTAAAAACTTTTCTAGTCTGACTTATGAATTGTAAGCACGCTTAATGTGTTGTTCAACAAATAATTTTTGGTGCCACTAGAGGCCTCCCTTCTGAATTGCACTTTTCTCCTTTAGTGCAATAGCAGAAACAGCCTCCATTGACAAAAAATATCTGGAAGGTTGGCAAGGCTGTGGTGAATCTGTTTTGCAGGAGGAGGAGTCATTTCTACTATGAAAAGGCAGAGTTTGAGTAAAGGTCATTGGTGATACAAGCCTCTGAAATACTCGTTTTGTCCATTTTCATCTTACAGAATTAGGATTTTTTTTTCAGATGATCATATTCTAAATCAGAAAGCCTCTTCTCTTTCATTTTTTATGATGCTGTATGGCTCAAAAGGAAAAAAAAAAAGGGGTATTTGGAGGACTGTCTTCCCCATGCTGTTTTCCTTTAGGCTGTTCAGTCTCCACTAGGGCCTTGGGCATCCACACAGGAGCTTCTTGCTCTCGAAGAAGAAAATCTCTCTTTTATGAAACTTTGTCGTGTGAGGGAAAATAGGAGATGCTTTAAAGCTTTCCATTTTGGAAGAAAATGATGCTGTTTGCTCTGCTAATGCTCTGCTAGTATTCTTCCCAATAAAAAAAAAAAAGAGACACCAGCATTTTCAGCTCCACTGGATTATGTAGTATGAACAGATGACCATTTCCCTGGAAGCTAGAGAAGACTCTCCATGAGCACTGTTAGTTTGAGAGAGAGGGTAGGATTGCACTGATGGTGCTTTTAATCTTAATCATGATGGCTAAATGCACCCTGTGTACTTTATCAGCTTATTCTGTGAAGAACTGTAAATCTTCATAGCTGTAGTTAACCATGAATCTTGTCTCATGGACCAGGTTTTTCTTCAACAACTGTTGAAAGCTTTAATTGTGGTAATACTGTCTTCCTTCTAAGCTGCTCATGATTACCTTTTCATCTTGTTCTTGTATTAGGGATGGTCATAACTAATTTCCACAAATGAGGCACAAAAGAAACCCATAGCTAGCAGTGTTTGACCTCCTGTGCACTTGCTTTTCAATGGAAGTAAAAAGAAAAATAATCCTTTTTTCGGCTTTTAATTGTCACTTTTTTGGAAAAAGTATTTAATCTCCTTCTCCTCAATTCGGTCTCTTGGAATAATCTTAGTCACAGAAAATGTGCCTCAGAGAAGCCTCTGTCTTTAGGTCATTAGTAAGGTAAGTCTTGAAGCAAATCAGCTACAGACCCCCCCATCTAAAACATCCTGAAATTATTCTGTAGTGTAGTCATATGAAAATTAAGGCATTAGTTCTGAAATATCTCTGGCAATGTTAAGAAAAATGTATGAATATTTTTTAATTCTTCTTAATCAAATGAATTAAAAAAACCCCAACCAAACCAAAAACCCAGAGCAGTCGTCTTGTTCTCTCCATTTTACATTTTAAACATATTCTAACGACCTTGTAGTTATCAAACCAACTAATCTTACTTTATGTGAATTCTTGGGGTATTACAAATCAAGCTTTCTTTTTGTTTCTGTGTCAAAACTATTTTTGAAAAGCAGTTTGATACCTGTTCTATGCAAGTTTTTGCAAAGCAGGATAAAAAAAAAAGAGTCGTCTTGGAAAAAAAAATGTCTCCTAGTGTTTCCTATTATTAGCTGTAAAAGTACATACTTGGCAAGAATGAGGAGAGTGTGGGAATGTGTGCACCTTGGAATCCTTCTCCTTCCAAAGCAGACCTGGAATAGAGTTTTATGCTGCAAACAGTGTAATAGCAGTTGTCCATTTTCGGCTGTGCCACTGCAGTGGTCTTGTTCGCTGATGGTGCTTAATTGTCACTCCTACAGACAGGATTGGTGCACTAATAGTGATCATTTCCAAGCATTTAACCATATTCTTCCCTGGTGTTGTAATGTACATTATTACATTTCTCTCCTTAGCCAGATTGTAATGTTTTCCAGTCTTTTTGTGTGTTTTTCTTGTAATTACCTAACTTCACCCTTTTCTTTTGCTTTCTGTGAAGATGAGAAAGAGTTAAGTTCTGTCATCTTTTCTAACTGTATTGCTCATAACTGAATTGGGCAGGTTATTTTGCAAGTGTCTTCAACTGGAAAATTATTAATATTTTCCTTGCATCTTTCTTCCCAAAGAATCAGTGGCTATATTTGAGTGCCCTGTCATTCATGAAGCACAAAAAAAGAAATAGCAATATTGGCTATTAGAGGTTTTGCTCACCTTAAATATAGATATTTGAAAGGTTTCCAATGCAAGTGACTAGAAGATTAAAAACTGTATTTCTGCTTTACTAAGGGAACACTTGTGGTCCTGGGAGGCTGCAAAATGCTGACCTTAAATGCCTGTTTAGAATAGCTCTTACTCTCTAGGATTTAAACTTGTATATCCTCGGTCTGAAACATTGTTTTGTCAACGAAATTGGAAAGTCTTGATGATGTGGGCCTAATTGTGCTCATGCTGAGGTCAGCTTAGGATAAGAGGAATGAAGGCAGTATTAAGCATTTTTGAGTTTAAAAAAGGGGAAGAATGGAGAAAGGAGATTTTATAATTGTGCCTCCTATATTGTGCTTAGAAGATTCTTATCATAGTTTTTTTTCCAGTTGGAAGTTGGCAAGAGAGCAGTGTGTTTCTTCAAGTAACTTGTAACCTCATTCTTCACTCTCTTGTCCAAGAGGTATAGCACCTGTGTTTTGTAGTGTCTCATACCTTTCTCAGGTTCATGAGCTGATTTTATCAGCAATGTGAAATGTGTGATGTGTACATGTAGGTGCTCTTTATTTGGGATATTTTGTGGGTTTGACCACAAGCAGCCAGATGATGCAATTTCACAGAATCACAGAATATACCAAGTTGGAAGGGACCCACAAGGATCATCGAGTCCAGCTCCTGATCCTGCACTGGACCATCCCCAAGAGTCACACCATGTGCCCGAGAGCATCATCCAAACGCTTCTTGAGCTGTGTCAGCCTTGCTGCTGTGACCACTGCCCTAGGGAGCCTGTTCCAGTGCCCAACCACCCTCTGGGGGAAGAACCTGTTCCTAATATCCAACCTAAACCTCCCCTGGCACAGCTCCAGGCCATTCCCTCAGGTCCTGTCCCTGTTCCCCACAGAGCAGAGATCAGTGCCTGCCCCTCCTCTTCCCCTCAAGAGGAAGTTGTAAAATGTGGTGAGGTCTCCCCTCAGCCTCCTCTTCTCCAGCTGAACAGACCAAGTGCCCTCAGCCGCTCCTCATACAGCTTCCCCTCAAGGCCCTTCACCATCCTCCTTGCCCTCCTTAGTGTGCTTTGGATTTGACTGTACCATTTACAAAGACTTGGCATGAATTTTTTGACAAAATTATTCTAACCTCTTATGTTTTTATTGTTACAACTGAAAAAAATAAAGGCAAACCTGCTGAATAGATTTGTGTTTATGCCACAGATCAAACCATTTTGACTTTGTTCTTACACCCATTCTACTGAGGGACATAAGTGAGCCTGGTTGCCCCATTCTTTTTTTTGTTCCTTGATAGCAAACCAGAACACTTACACTGTCTGGTTCTTATGACTCAGATTATGACTCAACATTCAATTTTATTAACTGGTAATAAATCCTGCAGATCTCTGAAAAGGTTTGGTTTTTTCTTTGTTTTTTTTTATTCACTACACAGAAAACAAGCTACTGATACTAGGACTTAAATTTCAGTAGAAAGTTTAATCTCTTGTTTTACAGCATGTCTTTGCTGCCTTTTCTTCAGTTAGCAGTGCCTTTCTAGGTTCCCCTGGAGAAGGATGTAGGACTCCTGCTTCTCTTATAGTACTCTTCAGCTAGATTCAGAAAAGCAACCTGCAACATTTTCTTTTGGTGCTTTCCATCAAAGCTGCCTTAGACCTTAAGGCAGAAGAAAACCTACAGCTAAGGCTCAGTCTTCCCTTCAAACCTCAGCGAAACTGTGTTCAAGAGCTGTGCAAAGATGGATGAGAATTTCCACTTAGAAAACCCTACCCGAGATGAAACTAAAACTCTCAAAACCTGGCAGAAAAAAAACCCACCTTCACAAAACCGAGGGAACTGATTTGCATCTCTGACCTTTTGTAGTGTGCAGCCTCCTGTAAAAGGAGGAACTATATACAATGTGCTATTTCTTCATGTTATGGAGCTTTCTACACAAAACATGGGAAGCATTAATGGTTTATCCAAGAAAACAGGTATTCTGTGTTTTCTTGCTTCTTCACCTACAGATAATGTTGCTTCCAGATGCAGAATGTGAAAATTATAAGAGTTTGTCAGTTGTCTTTTGTGTTTAATGTTGAAGTAGTTGAAGTCAATGTATCTTCCAAGGACTGTTGCAGGGACGTATTAGTCAGAGTCCCTCAGGATGTTCATTCCTTGACTGCTGGCAAGACTCATTTAAGTATGTTGCAAAGTGCACATCTCTGTGCTGCTGTGTAACCTTTGAGTTACTGTTTGGAATTTACCACATCATAATCTGCATCTCCCAAGGCCTTCAGAACTTGTTAGGTGATCAAATGAGCAAGCAAATCCCTGATAATAAAGAGCAGCTGGTAGAAGTGCTGGTCTCATGCAGACTTGGGCTGGTATTGTCAACCTCAATTGAACAGGAAGGGAAAAAAAAATACACTGCTACCTCCAAAGGTAAACCTGGAACTGGCTCATGACATCCATGAAGCTTGCTTGGATAAATTTCAGGATGTTCTGATCTAAAACAAAGCAAGTGAATAAACTAGTTCATTAAGTGGAATGGGTTTTCTGTTCTTACAATTTCAATAACTGTGATATTTAGTGTCTCTGAAAATGACTGCAAACTTTATTAGTTGCATCAGGATCTGCATAACAGCACATCCTCCTCCTAGCCAGAGCTTATCTGTGTTTTGTCATCCTATGCAAACCATTTTTAAGGGTATTAACATTTCACTGTATTTCGTAAGGATCATATTCCTTTTTTTTTTTTACTGCAGTCAGCATTTTCAGTTGTCAGTATAAGATGAAATATTTGTGTTTCCTCCTGTAGAGGTATGTTCCTCTTGCCATCTGTCAACACAGACCTCTAATCTAGTTGTCACTGTGATTAGACATTAATCACCACTATTATAGTCCAAAAAGTATAAAGATCCATCAGAACTTAGTGTATCTAGAGCATTCTCGTGCAAAGGACTGTGTTAGACCTCAGCCCTGGACTACAGCCCATATTCAGAAATTAAATACAAATTTTATAAGTCCAATTTTGTTGGAGTCTTATTTAGCCATTTTTTAGGCTTTTGGTTAGACTTCTAATTAGAAGCTTCTAATTAGACTTCTAATGTGAGACATGGAGCTGTTTTTTCAGTAACTGTGGGAATAATCCCTATCAAAACCTGCTCAGGGAAGAAGCAGTCACAGCTGAAGGGACCATGTGTTCAGGATTTGTGCATCTGGATTCTATAAGTGCAGATATGAGTCTGCCAGGCTTCTGTATCTGCGTAGATCCCTTGGCTTGGGGAGGATTCTGGGGTGCACCACCATTAAAAGCACTCTAAATATTAAAAAAAAACCAAAACAGCAAAACCAACAGTGACACATTTGGGTTCCATGTGTGCAAAAAACGGCACTTGTGTTGACAACTGTTTGCACCCAGTTCCTACAATATACATAAAGGTTCATCACAGACTCCCAGGTTTTGAGAAATATTTCAGCATTCTTCCTGCCTTCATTTACCAACCTGCAAAGTATTGTTACTAATAGAGCCTGTTTTTATTAGTGGTGATTAATATATCTTGAGTAGAATATTGTGCTCATTACCATTTCTAAGCATTCTGTACAAGTCTAATTTTATATTTCAAATGGTTGAAAAGAAAAAGAAGTAATATAATGAAAAAGCATGCTTCCTAATTTTGAAAAATGCATGTGATATTATTGCAAGAGCCATTTGATGTCTTTTCCAGGATGATGAGAATCTGCATTTCCTTGACTCTTGTCCATTTTCATACAGCTTTTCATAGGAACTCGTTCTGCCAGAGTTGAAGAATCTTTAGAAAGGTTATTTGATGGTGTGTAGTACTTTCAGAGGGGCCTAGGGCTGGAATATTAAAGGCATTCTCTATATACCATTAATATTCCAACACTGCATTTGGCAACATTTTGATTCTGAAGAGAGTGCATGAGTTCAAGGTCAGAGAGATTGACTTGTGCTGTTCATTATAACCAATTATTGTGTGACAAATGAGTTTGAGATCAGGCTGAAAATTCTGTGAGAAAAATCAATAGTTCTAATCAGGGCCTTTCAGGTCATTTACCACCCTACCTTTTGTTACTTTGTCAGAAAAGAGCAAGATAAAACCTGTGTGACAGTGGGTTGCCTCTGTATTGTTACCTTCTATTTGAAACATATTTTGATATCTTGAATTATATTAATAGTTTAATTGGTTTTGGAAACTTTTAAATTAGTTCCAATTTGTCAAACTTTTTTGTATTATTTTTTTTTTTAGTATTCTGATCAGATTTGTCAAGTGGTATTAAAGCTTTTCTGTCTAGGAAGTAGTATATCTAAGTCCTAAACCAGATTTGAGCTGTTTGTCTGTAATGAATAGCAAATAAACCTTAGCAGCAGATGCACTCCACTAATAGCCTTGGTTTGGTATCAGGGATAATTTAAAAAGCTCTTTGGAGTTACAGCTCTACAACATCTGAAACAACAATTTAATGTTTTTTTGACCAAGCTGAGTATTCTGTTTAGAATTTTATAAATTCATTTGCATTTTCCTTTGTAGTATCCAGACGAAGATGAAGAAACCAGGTTGTATCGTTTGAAGATAGAAGAGCAGAAGCGTCTAAGAGAAGAAATTCTGAAGCAGAAGGAGCTGAGACGGCAGCAGCAGGCTGGTGCCAGAAAGAGAGAACTGCTGGAAAGACTTGCACAGCAGCAGCAGCAGCAGCCTTCCACACAGCAGTCCTACATGCAGCACGAGGATGACTCCTCCGAGTTCTCCACCAACGGCAGCCCCTACATACCCCACTCCGGCTTGCACACCAGGCACAACGTGAAAAACAGACTCCTTGTTAGAAAGCAAGACACGGTAGTTCCAAATATCCAACCCAAACCCACAGATTTCCTCCAGAGTGGAGTGGGGGATGTGCAGTATCAAGGACAGCAGATGAAGCCAGTGAAGCAGCTGAGGCAGACTAGGACAGTTCCTCCGAGTCAGCCTCAGGCGCCGCAGAAAGTGTTACAGACAAAACCTGCTGCAGCGTCGCTGCCCGCGACACAGACGGCTCGAGTGGCTTCGGTACCAGCCAGGCCCCAGGAGCAGAAACCGGGTGTGAAAAGGACTGTCATGCAGCGGACAAACAGTGGTAGTGATGGGCCTCATGTCGGCAGCAAAGTCAGGGTGATTAAGTTGTCAGGAGGGGTAAGTTTCCAAGGCTCATCTCATATGTGTGTCTTGTCATGGTTTGTTTTTGTGTGTTTGATTCTGTGTAATCCCAAAATAAAAAGTGGGCCTAAGGTGATGGGAGAAGTAACAGGTTTAGCATACCTAATAGTCCTTATATTATATTTTCAGAACTGTAATTTATTAGCAGTTATTAAAAAATTAATGTTTCCTGTAACACTTTACTGCCAGGCAGTTACCACTGAAATCACATTGAAATAATTGAAATAATACTCCTTTCTATTAAGTTGTAATTTGAGTCTGAAAGACTGCTCAACTGAGCTCTTTTTGCTTAGGGTTGATAGGTCAGTCTGATAATTGCTCAGAGAAAAGGATTTGGGTGGCTGTATTTAATTAACATTTGGTTTAAAAACTAGGACCTGCTTATTTGGTAGGTGAAACCACCTAAATTAGTTGTGTGCAGATGTTGGTGTTAGTGTGGTTTCTGTACTCAAGGGAGGATTGTTTTTACTTTCTTGGGAAGCGTGTTGTGAAACCAGTTTAATCAGTATGTTGGAGGGGGATGTTTTCTGTTACAGGTTGGGTTTAAAATGTTACCATTTCACTTCTGCATCTAAATGAGATTTCCTTATCTTTTGATGAGGGGTCTATTATCTGCAGTGTGTCCCTTGAGCACTGGTGTCGTGGAAGACTCACAATGCTGGTCGTGAGGGCAGTGTGCGTATTTAAGATCTGGGGTTTTGGTTAGAAAGTCTTGACCGAATTTCTTCTGTCATAATGAAAAGAGAAATTAGTTTGTTAGGGCTCTAAATAAACTGTGTTGAGGGGACATAGTGAGATCATATTATCAGTGTGTGAGGTCTGTCCTCAGGTTTCTGCTGAGGAGAAAAGCAGGATCTGATATAGCACATTGGAGGGTTTTTTTTTCTGGAAGAATGCTTCTTACATTATTCAGAGCATTAATTAGGCAAACTTGCATAACTGTAATCTGTAATGAAGCAAGCAGTGTGTTAACAGGGACTGAACAAGGCCTTGGAGGCTAAGGCTTTACATTTAGAAACAGAGAGAAAGTTGAAATGCTGAAGTCTTAACTAATTTTTGTAAATGTTTCTCTACAGCTCATAAAACTTAAATGTGCTTAAAATGGTGAATTGCGTAATGACTGTGAGGTCTTTCAAAATATTAACATACAGGGCCTTATTGGCTACAGAGACATCCCGCACGTCAGGTTGTTGTCAGCTCTAATTCCTCAGAGGTGGCGACTTAAGTACAGAGGAATAAAGTGTGAGAAGCTGAAAGAAATTGATTCTGTTGAGCTAAAAATATTTATATATAAGTATGTCTGCAGAAATCCCAGTGGCCTGCAAGAGGTATGACAGGTTTGTGTGTCATGAATAATTGAATAAAGCAGTCATGCACGATTTCTTTTATTATGTGGTGAAACAAAACAATGCCAGTCACAACTGTATACAGCTCTTCATAACAAATGGTTATCAGTCTCCACAGCAGCATTCACAATGAAATAGTTATTATCACAGTGCTCTGTTTTAGAAGACCATAAATGTTTCAGATAAGTCTTACAGTAAGCAATAGCAATTAGCTTCATTAAATGTATGTGTAACCCCTCTGTGCACAGAAGCAGATTTTCTCTGTCCTTCTTAACTTTCAGTACTGAGGTTTTAGCAAGGTGAACCAGGTTCTTTACATGTAGCCTTTGTTAGTTTTCGTATTGCCATGGACATTTTAAGTTTCCTTAACTGTGTGAGAATAAGAGCAAGCATTGCAGTTAGCTGTTAACACTGATCAAGATAGTTGATTAATTTTTAATCAGTTAGTGACAAGCCGAATCTGTGACTTTGTTTCTTTGACTACACAAGGAAAAAAAAATAAATTGAGCAGCAGGGCAGGGCAGCCAATCTTCTTATCCATTTCTGACAGGATTTAAAAGAATAGTTACAAGCTGCTTGGACTCTGAATACTGTCATGATCACAGATCATAGTTAGTTACCACTGCTAATGTTTAATCCGGCTACATGCTTTTATTTATTTTCACAACTTTTGCCTGAGTGCTATATATAAAGCAAAAGCCAAATCTCATTTTTCTGAGCCATTCTCTTAAGCATGTGTTAGTGCTTCCTCCAGTTCCCTGCCTTTGGCCAAAGGGATGCCTGGTGTCTCTTACCTGTGTGCACTGACTCAATCCTGCAGCTAAGCAGCCCTGCCCTTGCTCTCCATCTAATCCCTTTCTTCTTTCTTGAGCTCTTTTGTGCAGAGATGTTTTGAATACCCTTGTATGAGTGAGGTGACTCATGAGTAGACACGATGCAGGTTCCCTTTTGAATCTCATTGGATTCATTTTGGTAGAGACTTGGCAAGTCCTGTCTCTTCCATCCTGCCAGCCATGGACAGCACCATAGGAGAGCTCTCAGTTGAGGAAGCTGATCTAATGCAGACCTGTACTAACTCTGTCTAGACCAAATTGACCTAAACTAGAAACTGGTAGCAGGGACTGTTATTAATTTAGTAGGACCATCTGTAGAACCAGGATTAAATGGTTTTGTGTTGCTGGTGATGTTTTTTTGTTTAACAGTTAAGGAGTGTGCCGTATTGGTGAGATCTGTGGTGTACAAATACTGTCAGAAGAGAATGGTTTCTTTCTTGAGAACAGTGTCCTTACCAGACTGAGTTTCTGTCTATTTGTGTTGCTGGGCACAGCAGTACTACAGAGATCTCTGACCTTCAGGTAGAAATATCCCTCAGTTCCTAGAAGGTAAAATGGCCTTTTATCTGTTTCCACAATAGTCTCTTGTGAGAGGATTTTACTTCTGGAATTGTAAGAGTTACTAATTAAATTCCAAGAATATTATAACTTGTCTGGTTTACCTGATATGTAAGATGCCTTAATTTATAGCTTCTTATACTTTGGGAAAAAAAGTAGAAAATTATTCAGCATTTCTTGATGTCAGACTCTGTGTATCAAGGTGGCACGTTTGGTACTGTCAGTAATGATTTTGTCTGTTGATGCTTTTTTTCTTTGTTTAAACAAATCTTACCCTTCTCCTTCCTCCCAATACTGATTTGCCCATCCCTTTCTAATACTCATATAATTTATGCAGGAATGGCAGTACAATGAATAGTTTTTCATTTTAATTTTTTAAGTGTTATGTTCCTGGAAAGTGAGGCAGTGTTTAGCGTATGAACTTTGATTCTTTTGGGGTTTTGGGGCTTTTTGGGGTCAGTTTTCTTTTTCCCCATGAAGACCCAAATATCTTTTGATAGATCCAGTGTGTTTTGTTTTGTGTGGCATTTCCTCAGAGATTTCCTTTTCAGATATAGGAGTCCAATGTATTTGCTGAGTATTGATACTGGTATATTTTACTACTAAAACATCTGAGATTTGCTTGGCTTGCTGAGGAGCCTGAGGTCAGTCCTAAAGAATCACAGGAACTATTAGATTGGGAAAGACCTCTGAGATCAGTGAGTCCAACCTGTGACCCAACACCACCATGTCAACCAGACCATGCCACTGAGTGCCATGTCCAGTCTTGTCTTAAAACACTTCCAGGAACGGTGATTCCATCACCACCCTGGGCAGCACTTTCCAATGTCTAATCACCCTTTCTGTAAAGAAATTTCTCCTAATAGCCAACCTGAACCTCCCTTGGCACAACTTAACACTGTGTCCTCTTGTCCTATCGCTGGATAGGCAGTGTCCTGTCACTGCCTGGGAGAAGAGACCGACCCCCAGCTGGCTACAACCTCCTTTTGGGTTGTTATGGAGAGTGATGAGGTCTCCCCTGAGCCTCCTCTTCTCCAGGCTAAACACCCTCAGCTCCTTCTGCTGTTCATCATGGGACTTGCACTTCAGACCCTTCACCAGCCTCTCTGCCCTTTTCTGGACCTACTCCAGCACGTCAATGTCCTTCTTGAAGTGAGGGACCCAGAACTGGACACAGTACTTGAAGTGTGGCCTCCCCAGGGCTGAGTACAAGAGGAGAATCACTTCCCTGGTCCTACTGACCACACTATTTCTGAGGCACTTGTAGGGTACATATAAGAATAAGGTCAGTGAGACTGTAGAGTGTAGAAAAGAAACACCCCAATCATGTCAAAATGTCATCATAAAATTATAGAAAATAAGGGTGAAAAGACTAGAAATAATGTACTGTCTTGAAGGGGAGATGAACTCTGTAGTATTCCTGACAGACTTGTCCAGCCTTTTTCTGAGATCTCGTTATTGTAGATTTCTTAGGCCTTCTATTCCAGTATCAAACCTGTACATTTAAGAGAATTTTCTTAGTGACCAAACTACATTTTCTTGCTGTAATTTTGAATCTGTGACTACTTGTATTATGCCTGAAGAGAGATGGGAAAGAATTTATATCTCTTTGTGTCTGTCTCTATTTTTCAAGATCTCTTAACTGTTTCTGGGCACTGATATCCTTCACTCTCTCTTGATGAGTCATGTTTTCTAACACCTTGACTGTGGTGGTCTTTGGGCTCTCTGTGGTCAGTCTGTTGGTAAATAGTTCTAGTACCAAATGCAGTTGAATTCTTTAAGACCATGTATTCAGAGTGGTTTTAGTCATGGAAGAACAGGTTTGTACCAACTGCAACCTTAGATATCTTAAGATCGTATGAAATATGTGCTGAGCATTACTTCCGTTTAGTTGGAGATTCTATAGGAAATTAGAGTATCTTAAAATCTCTATATCATTTGGTCATCTTATGTTGTTGTTGGATGATTTCTCTCTAGCCAGAAAACAAGCTGCCATGCTCAGAGATGTGTGTCCCAAAGACCTGAAAATGCTGGTTTTTACGCTGCACCAAGAACACACCAGTCTTTGTGGAAGGCTGCACAATGAATTTTTTTCATAAATACATATATAGATATAAATACATAAAAAACTCGATGTTCCCTGTTGCATTAGAAGCAGTATCTTATTTGTCATCCTAATTTCCTGAAAACCTGAAATGCTTCATACAAAAAGCTTGAAAAAAGGGTTGGCAAGTTCTTT